TACCACAAGTCCATCCCATGGTCCAATTGTCCACTGCCATGCTGGCAGTTTCCACCCATCCAGTTCTGGTCAGGTGCAGAGACAAAGGATGACCTTGACTTTCTAGAAAGAATTCTGTTATGGCTACATTGCATCTCACTCCTACAATCCCCCCTCTCATTTTCCCACAATAGAAAATGCAGAGTAGAATAATAGAAAGTGTGGAAGGCCAAAGATCCAAAAGAAAAGATGGCTGCAGATCTGACAGGAAGTTCTTGAGGGATGTGTGTGGCTGGCCCTCTTGTCTGGCTTGGCTCCAGCTGCTTAGATGCCCCCATGGGATTAGAACCAGCAGAATAGGATGCAATAGGATACAAATGAGGGGTGGGAAACCTTTGAAGATGGAAAGAGTGGAGGTGGAAAGTGGATTTTGTGAGGGTAGATCTGGTAGGGGCTGAATATCAAAATGTTCATGATTTTTATAAATGCAGAAATGAACTAAACTGAAATAAATCCCATACTGGAAGAAATGAACAGCCACATACATGTTAAGGACAGAGAGTCCCTAACCATTATGCTGGTGTGCATCAACAACCCTTCCTCCTTAATATCAGGCTTCCAAGTAACATACCTGTAGCAATTAAAACTCTGAGGCAGGTAAATTCCTCAAAGAATAAGTTTATTAGATATGTTATATTGGCATAGGCTGGTGAAAACCAGCTCCGAGTATCCCCGCAGTTTTCACCCAATTAAAAGTAAAAGTTTTCCCACTTTCTCCAATTGGTCTCATGGTCCAATTGCTAGGTGACTCCAGTCCCCTCCTTCTGAGCACCTGCAGGAACGTCCTTGGTTCCCAAGAAAAAGTATTTTGTTTTGATGCCCCAACTATCTGTATCCCCCACCCCACTTCCTGTCCCTCTTCTGCAGTGTGTCAACGCTGAAGTCTCCAAATGGCCTCAGGCCAACCTCAGGGTTGACACTTAGCACCGGAGCATATTCCAGTGGATTGAGCTTCCCAGTGCTGTCTCTGTCAGTGCCGATGTCCTGCCAACCTGCTCAACACCTTCTCTCCTCGTTCTTCTCAGCCTCTGTTGCCAGCATCCTATCAGAGCGTATCTCCTGATTTCCATCTGTTGAATCCCCAATCTGTTAAATCAGGTGTACACCGTATAGATCAGGGGTCGGCAACTTTAAACACTAAAAGAGCCACAAAGGTCCTAACCAGAAGCCCTCCCTCCCCACCCTCCCATTCAATTCTGGAGCTGACTGGAAGTCCGGTTCCCACACCATAGAGTCTCTTCCTAGCGTGGCATCCTTTTTTCTCTACCTTTCCTAACTGAAAGCCCTATCAATTGTGGAGCCAACCAGCAACAGGGAGCTGCAGCATAGGGATAAAAGAGCCACATGTGGCTCCGAAATCGCAGGTTGCTGACCCTTGGACATACGGACACTTAACATTTTCATAGTTTAGGCCTCGAGATCTTTCCCAGCTTCTTGCTCTCTGATCTCTCTTGCTCCTTCTTTCCCCCCTGAGGTGGCAGTGGTGGCAGAGACTTTCCAGGAGATGCTTCAGCGGGATTTTGGCTACAAGCTTTATAAAGCGCTGCTGGCCCTGCCGGAAAAGGAGGAGCCGCCGGAGGCCAAACATCCCGATTCAGAAAAAGTGCCGAAATTGGAAAAGGAAGCCGAGAACGAAGTGAAGGAGGATCCTCAGGAGAAACCTGCAGCAGAAGATGCACCAGATAGTAACCAGAAGGAAGTTCAAGTATGTCTATGCAACTCTTCAGGCCTTACAGTACAATCAGGTGGCCCCTTCATGTTTGGCCAGTTACATCCCCTCCTCATCTTTCTTAACATTGCACGGTTTCCATTTTCTTCCGATTGCGAAGGATAATAGGTGGGGTTCTTTTGGGGGGGGGGGTATAAGGCACTGATGTTGTCTTTTTTATTTGTGCAGAAAGAGGGGAGTGGGGAGGCTGAGAAGAAGCCTCCGAATCAAGATGGGGCCAATGCAACCAAGGAGGAGAAGGTGAGTGGGAATGTCAAAGCCGAAGCGAAGGATTCCACTGATGACCTCTGTGAGCTCAGCATGGAAGATGACCTCTTGCTGCTAAGAGAGGACGAAGAGGAGGATTTTGGTAAGCAGTCTGGGAAACGTAACACGGTTCGGTTGAATTTTGCCTACGTGGTGGGGACTCATATTATTGTGTTTCTCCAAAAATACGGCCTACCCTGAAAGTAAGCCCTAGCTTGATTTGTACATGTGCACCCAATATAAATCCCACCCCCAAAATAAGTCCTAGACCCTACCCGCAAGGCACACGGGTAAAAATTAAGCTAGGATGGGGGTGGAGCTGCCCTACTACTTACTTCGGACAGTTGCTGCCAGGCCCCGACACCTGCCTTTCCTTGCTGGCCCACTTCTTCTGCAGCTGCTTGCGCGAGTCACCTCGGCTTCTATTTGCTGTCAGAGAGCTTCAGGAAAGGCCTTTGCAGCCGATAACAGAACTCCGGATTGAGGGCAGAGTGGAGCTGTTGCTGCCACCATGAGATGAGGAAGAAAATAAGACCTGGTGCCTTTTTTGGTGGCAATATATATATATATATATAAAACCAGGTCTTATTTTCAGGGGAACACAGTAGCTGCAGAGAATTGCCCTTATCACTTCCCTTAGTTGTAGACAAGATGAAAGTCCCTTGGCTTTTCTCTGTGGGGAAATCAGGATTCCCATGTTCCTTTTGGCGGCCCTGGTCAGTGTTCAGCTACGTCAGGGCTGTTTTCAGACTGATGGTTTGGGGCATTGGAAGGCATTTCTTGCGCTCTCAGGATCTTCTGGTAAAGACACTGAATAGATCCACTCAGTGTCAGCGTTCTGAGTAATGCGCACATTGAAAGTATAACTCCGAGGCAGGTAGATCCCTCAAAGAACATGTTTATTGGATACATCATATCGGCACAGCCGGTGAAAACCAACTCTTAACAGTTCCCGTGGTTTCACCTAATTAAGAGAGAAAAAACCCCTCACCGGTCACATTGTCCAATTAGGATGGATGGCAGACATCCTTTGGCTCCTCCTTCAACAACCACCTATTGCAATGACCTTGGTTCCAACAGAAAAACTTTTTTGTTTTGACTGTTAGCCAGGCTATCTACTTCCCCCCTCCCTTTCCCCTCTCAGGCTTCGTGGCAACTAGGAGGCAGCACAAGATGGCTTCAGTCAGGTACGCTTCAGAGTTGACAAGTCAGCTTCTGAAGCAGGTCATGTTGCCTTATCCACAGGTGTCAAGTTGGAAGACGCCGAAGTGAGATCCGTTGCATCCAACCAGTCTGAAATCGAGATTTCCTCCCTTCCTGATATGGTTAGTAGACAGCTCGTCTTAAATATTTGGTTTGCTTGTTTACGTCTGAATGTTCTTAATGGATGTATCCTGCTTTAATTAGCTATCTTGGGAAGACAAGATTGGGGTATAACCCACAGTACGTTTTTCTGGAAACGTTGCTGGCTTTGTAACATACCAATTCTGGCACTGGAGACTTCATTCCAAAACCATCTTTAGCAGGAAAATTTGCATGAATTTATATAGAATGTAGATAGTGGCAAAATTGTTTTCTCAGAAATTGGATTTTTTTTCCATCTTAAGCTAGGTAATTGAGGGAAAGCTCCAGTGGACTGAGTTGTGTAAACCCCCCAAATTCTGGAATCTGAAAAAAATTACCATATTGTTTTGGAGTATAAGACATACTTCCCCCCCCCCCAAAAAGAGGGTGAAAACTTGGGTGCATCTTATACACTGATATGTAGTCCCATCCACCCACCGGCGCCCATCCTTTGGCCTCTGCCTCCCAGCAATTTACCTCCTTGCAGCAAACGGAGTAAATGGGGCTTGCAATAGGCTATGGCAATCCCTGCAGCCTGAAACAGCTTATCATCTGCCTGTGCTTAAACTGAAATTGAAAGTGAAACTTGCTTTTTGCTGCAAGGAGGCAAATTGCTGGGAGGCAGAGGCAGATGTTTTTTTCTTGTGCTAATCAGGCTGTTTACTGTTTGTTGCGAGGAGTAAGTCAATAACTGTAAATGCCTAGAGAATGCTCAATTTATTAGACTTATTTTTTAAAGACTGCTTTATTATTGTTCTAGACAACTCAACAAAATGAAGAAATTTTAAAATAAATGCTTGACCTGAAGAGGCCCAGTGCTATTGTATCTTCTTTTAAATAGCAGAGAATAATATATACTTCCAGAAAACCACATCAATTTTAACAGCAGTTTGGTAGATCGTATCTCAACAGGTCCAAGGTTAACTCAGCCTTCCATCCTCTCGATAAAATCAGGATCCAGATTGTTGGGGGAAAGAGGCTGACTCTAAACTCTTTAGAGAGGGCTGTAAAGCACTGGGAAGTGGTATATAAGTCTAAGTGCTATTGCTATTACTATTCCTCCCTCCCCCTTTCCTTCCTTCCTTCCTTCCTTCCTTCCTTCCTTCCTTCCTTCCTTCCTTTCTTTCCTTTCTTCCTGTTATTCCCTTTCTTCTTCTCCTTCCTGGTGCCGCAGTATTTAGAATGCAGCATTGCAGGCTAACTCTGCCCACTGCCAGGAGTTCGATTCTGTTCGGCTCAAGGTTAACTCAGCCTTCCATCCTTCCAAGGTCGGTAAAATGAGGAGCCAAATTGTTGGGGGCAAGAGGCTGACTTTGTAAAACCGCTTAGAGAGGGCTGTGAAGTACTGTGAAGCGGTATATAAGTCTAAGTGCTATTGCTATCTCTGGACCAGTGAAATGGAGCACAGAGTAAGACTGTCCCCCTTTCCTCCCCCCTCCCTCTTCTTTTTATATGCCATGCTTAGCCCAGAGAGCTGGACCCAAGTACTGTGTTGCCCTTGGATGCCCTTCTTGCCTTCATTTACTTCGACTTGAATTTCTGTGGCTACCTGCATAGGAAGGATATGGACAAGATCCTGCTCACCTTGGGACTGCACCTCTGCAAAGAGCAGGTGAGCCTCGGCTGGGTTCTGTCAGCGATTGGTGGAACGAGTCAGCCTCTGCCCTCTGGACCGTGTGCACAGGGGCTTTCTTGACCGCATTTCCCCAGGGCAACTTCTAAGGGGCTGTCTCATCTGCTGGTAGGTGAAGCGCTTGGTGAACAGGGTTGTGACGCAGTTTGTGTGCCGTTACCGCAGCCTGCGTTACAGCCGGCAGGAAGGTACAGAGGCCGGCCTCGGAGAGGAAGAGCTATCAGGTGAGTTGCAGGTACGGGGTGGGACGTGACTCTACGGGGCATTAGGGATGGGATGCCACTGGACTTTGCTTTTTAAGTGAGGCTGGTTCCAATTCAGGAATCGGTTTTATTGAGCCCTCTGTGTGCCAGGAGGAGGTCTGGATTGGGGGAGAGGGAGTCTTTACATTTTTGTCTCCTCCCAACAAAATACAGGCAGTCCTTAACTTACAACAATTCATTTAGTGACCGAAGTTACAACAGGCACTCAAAAAAGTGACTTACAACCGTTTTTCACACTCACGACCATCGCAGCATCCCCACAGTCACAAGATCAAAATTCAAACGCTTGGCCATCGACTCATATTTATGACGGTTGCAGTGTCCCGGGGGTCATGTGAGATTCCCCCTTTGCGACTTTCTGATGAGCCACGTCAATGGGGGAAGCCCGATTCACTCAACAACGGGGACAACAAAAGTTGTAACTCGGGGCAGAATTCATTGGCAACTGTCTTGCTTAGCAAGGAAATTTTTTGGGCCCAGTTATGGTCGTAAGCTGAGGACTTAACCGTGTTCCAGTTATGTGAGGATTTCCTTCCCAATATCTCCTTCCATTGAAATGTGGCTCACTATTGGAAAGCAGAATTCTTTGTCAGGCTGGGTCAGTTGGTGTTCTGACCGAGGCTTCCCAAGAGCATGAAGCAAACTCCTGGTCCCAACAAAAACCCCTTTTATTAATTGATTGTGAATTCTGCTCATTCACATCCAGCAAAATCAAAGGAGGATTTGCAGTCACAGACTTTATCTGGCTTGGAGAGCTGCCAGGCCCATATCTGCAAAACTTGGCAAGGAGTCTCGGAGAGTCACAAACCAATTAAACGAAGTAATTGTCTCCTTCAAACTCCACTCCCCTTTCGCTCCTCTTTTATTTCCTCTGGGAGGGGCCATTCATCGTCCACCTGTGGTCTTACTCCCAAGTCGACCCCTGTTCTTTAGCTGTTCCCTTCGTCTGGCAACTCTGCGCATGCGCACACACGGAACAGGCTCCAGCTGTTCTTCTGCCTCAGTGATGTCTGACTCTGAAGGCAGTTGATAACTGGCATACGGCTCTGGCCCCCTCTCTGCCTCTGACACAGAGCCTTCCCCAGACTCCAGGACTGGCCCATGTCTGCTGCCAGCTCCTCTGGTGGGCCACAACAGTTGGCAAGGAAGAGAATGACGCTTCAGACCAGCGGGAATGGCAGCAATGAATTCATATGCTTTTTTGCTCCTTTTTCTCCCCATTCCCCAAATCAAGGTGTCCTTGATTGTTAAGCAAGATAAATACTACTTCCTTCTTGCAGGCAACCTCCATTTCTTGCGCTCATCGGTTCCTTTGACTAAATCTACCCGAGAGACTCAGTCTACCAATTTGATCCCATACAATGGAGCTGTCCTTAATGTCAGCAAACTCCTGGAAAAAGCCGAGCAGACAGAAAACAGCCGACTCTACCTGGAAAATAAAATCCATACCCTGGAGCTAAAATTGGGTGAGTGCTGCAGGGGGAGGGTCTATAGATTTAATTCATCTACAACCAGCCATCCTGATTCCTGGCAGTTCACCTCGATTGCCATCTGTACCAATGAGGAACTGCTTCATTTGATAAATTCTATGTTCTGGGTTAACCAGATTTGGGCTTCTAATGTCTGGGTGACCAGTGAATGGCAGCAAAGTGATGTGCTTTAAAGTATTTGCTGCCCCCCAGTGGTCATGTGGAATTTTGCAGTCTTAATTCTGATTACTCTTGTTATCTAGGACAGTGGTCTCCAACCTTGGCAACCTTAAGACCTGTGGACTTCAACTCCCAGAGTTCCTCAGCCAGCAAAGCTGGCTGAGGAACTCTGGGAGTTGAAGTCCACAGGTCTTAAAGTTGCCAAGGTTGGAGACCACTGATCTAGGAAAGCAGGATTCCAGCCCAAAATGTTGTATTTATTGGGCTTAATCTTGATTGCATGCAAGGGGTACCAAACATTACGTACCCTTTGTAGAATTGAATGGCTTCTTGAGCAAGAACTGAATTGCCATTCTGGGCTGCGAATGTGGAATGAAAAGTTGTTAGTTGCGAAGTCATGTCCGACCCTTTGTGACCCCATGGATCCTCTCGAGTCCATTTAAGCTTCACGCCGACTGCTTCTGTCCATCTAGCCACCACCTTCTGTGTCGTCCCTTACTTCATTTGCTCTCCGTTGTTCCCAGCATGAGGCTCTTCTCCGGGGAGTCCTTCCTTCTCATCAGGTGGCCAAAGGATTTGAGTTTCATCTTCAGGATCTGGCCTTCTAAAGAGAAATCAGGGTTGATCTCCTCTAGGACTGACCGGTTGGATCTCCTTGCAGTCCACAGGACTTGCAGGAGTCTTTTCCAGCACCATAGTTCAAAGGCCTCCATTCTTTTGGTGCTCAGCCTTCCTTATGGTTCAACTTTCACAGCCATCCATTGCAACTGGGAAAACCAGAGCCTTGACCTGGTGATATGTCTGCTTTTTAGCATGCTGTCTAGATTTGCCATCGCTTTCCTCCCCAGGAGCAAGCCTCTTTTAATTTCTTGGCTGCAGTCCCCATCTGGGGTGAGCTTGGAGCCCAGGAAAATAAAATCTGTCCCTACCTCCATTTCTTCCCCATTTTGTTGCCAGAATTGGGAAGGCTGGATGCGATGATATTAGTTTTCTGAATGTTGAGTTTCAAGCCAAGTTTTGCATTCTCCATGAAAAGTAATGGAACTCCTTTACAGGAACTGAGACGAATTCAAAACAGGCTCTTATACTTCTACCTGCATAAACATCCAGAAAATGGAGATGTAATTATTTATGTAGAAAATTTATGTAGCCACTTACTCGCTCACAGCAACTCTAGGTGGCTTACAAACAAAGGGATGGAAGCATAAAGAAGGTGGCAGACAACAGATAGGCCCATGCATTTAAAATACCCTCCAGAGGTTTAGAAAATGCATCTGTAACAATTGTAAAAGTCAAAGGTTCCCACCCTGGAATCTGCTCCCTGCAGATTCCATAATTACCATAATTCCAGATTACTGTAATTGGTCCTTATATAAATAGGTTCCCCTCCAGTGAGATACTGGCAATTTTGGCTCTCCCTTGTTCTGACTAGGAGCTTACACTTCTCTCTGTTAACTTTCTGCTCGGAAAACAATTCCAATCGACTGCCCGCGTAGAAGAGTCCCAGCTACGCTTCTTATCCACGGAGGCATCCAACAAGGCTTTGACGCTGGAAGTGCAGGATTTACAGAAGCGCCTGACTGAGATGGAGGAGCAGTCAAAAGTATCTGAAAAGCAAAAATCCCTTTTTCAAAGGCTGCTGCAGGAGAATAAAAAGCGTCTGGTTCCTTTGCAACTGGAAATCCAGAAGATAATTGAGAAGGTAGGCTGACAATCGAACCCAATGGGGCTTTTGTAGTAAACTAGCCGGTAACCTGGCATTGCCCGGATATTTATTTATAGGGTGAAAATGTCCGGACCAAACGTAATTTCTAATGTTGGATTTCCCCTCCTTACTATAGAGGGAGCCCCCTTGTGGAGTACGGTGAAGCTGTTACCACTGAAACTCCACTGTGCTGTATAGTAGAAGCCATTTTATAGCAGTACAGTAGAAGCCATTTGAAGGCACAACAGGCTGTATCTTAACAGAACACGCACCCTGAGGGGTGTTAGGGGTGTCTTACCCCACAGTATTTGTTTCCAGAGAGCAAGTCATCTGTGTACCAAGTTTGGATGAAATTGCTTGAGGCTTTCCAGAGTTATGCTGCAACACACACACAGCCATTTTTATATATTTATACAGTAGAAGATGTGGAGTGTTGATCTTCAAGCAGTTATGGCTTGATAGATCTAGAACTGGACATCTGCTCAGAAACTCCTAGGCTGTGTGGGCAGCTGTGCAGCACTTAGTAGAGAGTGGGAGAACTCTCATCCCTTTGGAAGGACATCTTGAGCTCCTAAGAGAATTGTGCTTCCAGATCATGTGTGTGTTTATTCAGAAGTCAATTCCATTGACTTCAGTGTGCTTAGGACAACAGGCAATACAACTGCTATGGCCTCTTTGGATTTTTTTTTCCATGTTGGTCAGTGGCATTGCTAGTTCTACCTCAGTCCCAGGTGACCTCCTTAAAAAAAGAGAGAAAATGAGGTATTTGTGAGCCCGCATTCATCAGGGAACGCCGTGAAGAGCTGGATGCTTTTAAGGCACCCCACTGACTCTGTGCTTGACTTTGTCCCAAAATTGGATGATACTTTAAAATAGTTCATATCTGTAAAAGTGAAATGATGTTTTATTTGGTCCCGAATGTTAAATGTTGCTATCTATACAAGTTTCTTGTATAGGTGGGTCTTTTTCTTTGCGGTGTTTTGGAGAAAAATTACGTTGCTACTGGTACAAAATAAATGTGACCCAGAAGAATGAAAATTGGCGTTGTTGCTTCCCCAAACGTTTGTAGCTTCCCACAATATTCCCTGCAGTATCCATGTAAAAAAATTCTTTGGGCTGGTAAAGGTTCCCCTGCACATGAGTGCTAGTCATTCCCGGCTCTAGGGGGTGGTACTCATCTCCGTTTCAAAGCTGAAGAGCCAGCGCTGTCCGAAGACATCTATGGTCATGTGGCCGGCATGACTCAATGCCGAAGGCACACGGAACACT